CGTTGGAGCGGCTGCTCTTTGCACCCAGATCTCCCTGCCTTGCCCTCCCATCGCCATTTCCACCCCCGGGGAACAAAGGCCTTGCCCTGCCAAGGACGCGAACAAAGGCCTTGCTCTGCCAAGGACGCTTGCAACACAATGGTTGGGAGTTTGCTGCTTATGGGGAGCCTGTGCATTCATCCCGGGGGGGGGGCGCTTTACTCCCTCCCTCCCCACCCCCGGTTTTTTTTCTTGCCTTGAATCCCCGGCACCGGCCAGGAACCCCTTCGTCCAAGATCTTCGACGATGGGGCGCCGGAAAAGGGAGAGAGATCCCTCCTCTCTCTCTCTCTCCTCTCCCACCCGCGTCCCACTTCCGGTTCCGGTTCCCCTTTGGGACAAGGCCCGGAGCAGCGCGATGCGCGGGGGCTCCGCCTCCTGGAACGCCACCGAGGCTTCCTTACCCCGGGGCGCGAAGGAAAAAGGCACCGGATTGGGCCGAACGGGGGAGACCGGGGAGGGCACTCGTAGCTCTATGTTTCCCCCCCGCCTCGCGGAGCTCTTCGCTTCCGTTGCTTGAGGCGGAAGCACTGCTGGAAACCGGAAGTGGTGCTTGCTTGGTGAATTTGTACTCTCTCTCTGTTTGTGTGTGTGTGTGCGTGAGAGAGAGCTGCTACCCAGCCGTAAAAAAACGGGGTGCAAAGAGCAGCACCCCTCATTTGCAGGATCCTCTTTGCACTGCTTCTAGCAGGGCCACCAATTCTTTGCAGGAAAGAAAGGGAGAAAAAGGGGTCTCTACCCCGTCTTGCTGAGAAATCAAGTGTCATCCTGCTGCCGAGGGCCCCCTCTCCCCCTTGCATTGCACCAGCACCCTCACCCCTATTTCTTCAAGGAGGTCTATATGGTCTCCATAGGACTTGGGGGGAGGAGAGAAGAGAAGGATGCTACCTCCTTCAAAGGAAATAGTCTTTCAGGAAGGCTTGAGGAGGGGAGGGGTTAGTCCTGTGTTCCGGCTGGAGGAGAAGATGGCCTGTGGGCCGTTTGCCCAGTTTGCTCCTCCGAGGAAGGAAAATGCGAAGAAAAATGAAGAGAGTAAATGTATTCGTTCTCACAAATGAACTTTCACAGGAGTCTGACAATGGCCTTGTAAGGGAGGGAGGGTTGCTGTTCAGGCTTCCATCTCCTCCACCAGCTGTTCACAGGTGAGTGATATCTGCCTGTAGGAACTAGGAAGGGTGGCCAGCAGTTTTCCCAGCAGTGGTGAGATGCATTTATAGGATGCTTTACACAAGAAGAGGCTTTACATTTCATCTCAAGGTTTTTTTAAATAATGATTCGGGAAGCTAGACAAGTAAAACGATAAAAAATTCAAGCCATTCCTGCAGCAGGTTCCCTTTTTGGCCCTCTGGTCTTCTGAACCACCTCCTTCAGCAGGACACATACAAATTCAGCTCAAGCCACATTTTTGAATGAATGATCTGTCTGAAATGGGAAGGGTTTGTGTTGATGTTTATTGGTCGGGTCCATCTCTCAACTAAACAAAAGAGTTTACTTCTTTGTTTTTCTCCCCTTACAGGCAGTACCATGGAGGCACAATCTGGCTCCTCTCATCTTAATGCAGAGGGGGAAGGAGACCCAGTTCAGCCTCGGCAGGTAAATGCAGAGGGGCAGCCTGTCTCCTTGTATAGTACTTTTACCGTTAGACCTCTAGATGTCCAGGAATCTCAGCAAGAAGGCTGTCCTTACTTTTTATTTGAAGCTTTGAATCCGCCAAAATAATAATAGAAAGGAAACACACACACACAAAGAAACTCTGCTGTTTTGCAAACAGGGAACAAACGAATGTGCGGCAATTGTCTTTTTTTTTTCCTTTTCTTTTTCAGCTCCGAGTCTCTTTTGAGGAGATGACCATATACTGTATTTCTCCGGGTTGTCCAGTGGGACCTCCTGAATCAGAGCCAAAAGAGTCGCCAAAATAATAATAGAAAGGAAACACACACACACAAAGAAACTCTGCTGTTTTGCAAACAGGGAACAAACGAATGTGCGGCAATTGTCTTTTTTTTTTCCTTTTCTTTTTCAGCTCCGAGTCTCTTTTGAGGAGATGACCATATACTGTATTTCTCCGGGTTGTCCAGTGGGACCTCCTGAATCAGAGCCAAAAGAGTTCTCAACAACGCACCATTGCCAGTGGCTTCTGGGTGGTGATGACCATATATTTCTCCAGATTGTCTGGTGGGACCTGAATCAGGGCCAAAGAGCTCTCAACAAGGAAATCAAGATGGAAATTTATGAGAATATTTTCTCTCTAGGTAAGGGTCCCTTTGCCTTTAGAGAATGGGGGCTAAAAACAAATGGATTTATGTTGTTAGCATTGCCATCTGCATTGCCTGGATGCAGCCTGGAGTGGGTCGCTAGACTGTATACCCTCTTGTGCCACCCCATGCCAGTTTGGCTTGTCCCCCTTCAAATGCAACAGTGCCTGGTGTATGGATAAATCTTAGTTTTAGCTCTCTTTTGGCCCAGGTCTCAGAAATGGCATCAGGTGAAGGTATATATTACAGATATTTAAACCATGGAATTTAATCCTCCACTTAAATGTGCCTATCTGCAATTAAAAGTGCTTCCTGGGGAGATGATTTCTAATTTGG